GATGGTGGTAGTGAAGGAATAGTAAAGATTCAAAGGAGATTTTAAAAGATAGGGTAATAATAGGCATAGATAAATAGTAATTAGTTATAAAAATGCAATGTATATTAATGATTGTATAAAACACAATGTACATGCATGAAACACAGGTGATATGAATTATTATATGCAGAAAAATGTATTAGCAAGAAGAAAACTCAGAAAATGGAAGTTTTCCTAATGTTCCCTCTCTTTTATCCTCAGGTTGTCCTAACAGTGAAAGACTATTCAACCACTATGACTTCTGTTGTCTTCCTTCTTCCAGAAGAATTCACCACTTGATTTTCCCTGCTAAAATGAAACACATACTCTGCTTTTGTTTTATTTTCCTTTTGACTAATTCACTCTGCAGACTTTTCCTCCACATTTTCTTTACTTGGATCCATAATTAGAGCCCAATGGGAGCAACAGTTTGGAATAAACAAATATTATTACATTAGGAAAGTCTAAGAGTCAAGAACCTCTTTAAAGTGCTAACTAGTAAATGTGTCACTTTGAAGACTAAAGGCTGATTTATCTAAGCAATGTTGCCTCCTATGCATGTGAAAGTTGGACAGTAAATAAGGAAGATCAGAGAAGAATTCTCACAACTCAAGTTACAACTACTACAACTCATCCTTGAGTTGTGTTGTTGGTAAAGAATATTGAATATACCATGAACTGCCAAAAGAACAAATACATTTGTCTTGGACAGACTGTAGCCAGATTCTCATTAGGAACCAAGATTGTGAGTCTCATCTTGCATATTCTGGGCATGCTAGAGGAAAGAGCAGTTCAGAGAAATATATGCTTGCTAAAGATGCTGTGTGCCATCAATTCAGAACCGAACCATCATTGACCCTCTGGTGGGTATTCAGAGACGGTTACTTGCACAAGAGGAGATTGTCCATCCTTCTACTATGGAGCAACTGGTGGATATGCACTGCATGCCTTTGGAATTGCAGCCAACTTCTTGCCACTAGGCCACTATTGTTGTTGTTGTTGATTGCCATCAAATTGAGCATGACTCACTGAGAAAAGGCCTGAAGTCTTTCTATAACTATCATCATTCAAAGTTCATAGAGTTTCCAGAGGCATGTTGTTTAGGAAGTGGATGCCACTCCTGTTACCAAACCTGTCTTAAGCTGGGAGCTCCACCAAACACTATGTGCAGCAATTATGGCATTTGATACCCCAATGGCACAAGGATCTGTATCACAGAAACCCCAGGTTACCTCAGTACAGCATATTGACAGAAGAGTACTGTACCAGTCATGCTCAGTAAAAAAGAGGAAGCCACTCAGTGAAATGGAATGAGACAATGGCTTCAACAGAATTTGGCATGAGAAGTATATAATATATACTTACGGGTTTACAAGACTCACATGATACAATATACATCTATATGCTACAGGTAGGTGTGCCACAAAATGAACTAGCCAGCTAGAATGAGTAGAAGGTGTACCTACACAGGACTATGATTTTTAGAATATGTGGGATGGTGTTTCATCATGATAACAAAGTTGTATAGAGAAGGAGTGGGTTAAGAAGTAGGTATCTAGAAAGACAATTAAATTTTGTAGGCATGATAGTTTTTAGAAGACAGAGTTATACAGGGTTTGTGGATTCTTGGATGTTATATATATAGCCAAATTTGGGTCTCAATGAAGCTGGAAAAAGAAAGATATTAATTTCAAGTTACCAAGAGCTACAGTAAACTCTAAAGTAAGCAGATAACAGCATAACTTTCAAATGCTACACTGCATTAGAGAATTTCATGAAAACAGTGACATTAATTAGGAAATTGATTCCTGGACAAGTACATTTTCAGTATAATAATACATTTAAAACATTTATGATATTTTTAATGTACCACTTGAATCATAGTCACAAAGAAGGCCTGGGTGACTTTTCAAAGGGTCTTCCAGGCTTAAAGATCTCTGATATAAAACATGAAAAAAGCTAGCCACCAGAAGGCTGTATGGGTCTTGTTGTTGTTATGAGGTGGCATTAAACTGAATAGGACTCACAGTGACCCTGTGAACAACGGGTGTGAAACCTTTCCTATCCTGTGCCGTCCTCATCATTTCTGACATACTTGAGCCCTCTGCTGCAGTAACTGTGTACATTCATCTGGATGAGGTCTTCTCTTTTGCCAATTCTCTCCACCTTTCCAAGCATGACGTCCATTTTCAAGCAATAGCCTCTCCTAACAACATGTCTCCCAAAGTATGTGCAACAAAGCTTTGTCATCTTTGCCTCCAAGGAGCATTCTGGCTGCACATTCTCCAAGACCCATATGTTTGTTCTTTTGGAACAAAACAAATGTCCTTGAGATATTCAATACTCTTCTCTATTATCGACTGGATCGTAATGAAATCATAAATGGAGTCTACCATGTTATAGTTAAAACTCTAAGGCCTAATTGACATTAGTCATACAATGGAAAAATCTTAATCTGTTCATTGAGTTCAAGGAATAAAGAACTTTGGGCTGGATTAGCGACTTACATTTATAAATATACATTATACATAACTCTGCATTATGCTTAATTTCTCTATCAACCAGTGAATGTAAGTCAAGTATAACTACAAAGGCTCAAACTACCAGAAGCAAGACAAAACACATATCAGTGCTGATACACGTTTGCAGGGAATAAATGTTTTCTAAAAACTGATAATATAATTTTAATATAACAAAATATTATCAGTCTTTAAGATAACACTGAAAGAGACTCATATATGTTGATGTTTTCAGAGTCAGTAAATCACACAGGAAGAGACTGCTCATCCTTCTCCCATGGAGCAGCTGGTGGATTTGAACTCTACACCTTTGGAACTGTAACATACCTTTCACCACTAGGCCACCAGAGCTCCCTTTTATGTTGATATGTACATAAATTAATCTGATCAAATACTTAGCATATCTGTAGTGTCAATTTCAGGTGAGAAAGGCCCAGTTTTCAAAGCCCTGCTGTGGTCACCTAGGATTAAATCTATTCCTTGGAGGGAGAGCTGTATATTGTATGTAAAATGTTGGAACTCTTATTTTATTTAGTTATATGTTCAACCTCTCCAATGGATAATAGACAGGTTATATATCCTTTGTCTGATCGTTGTTCATGGAAAAAAAATGCAAAACAAACCATATACATTTTGCTCAGCTCAAAGAGCTAATGAATACAAATGAACTTGTAAAGATAATGCTTTCTGCATCACTGGAAGGCTAAATGGCACATCTGTTTATTTATTTTTTAAAAAGAATCTCTTTATTGAAAGGACTGGTATCAATGATTCATAAAATAGACTCAATTCAAATTTAAGCTCAGGGCCAAGAACAAAATTCCATCCACAGCTATCTATCTTTGCACTGTAGATAAAATGACTGACAGACTACCTTTTGTAGTGTTAGGTCAGTGTGTTAGTAACATAAATATACAGAATGCCCTGATACAGCAGCTGTTCTACGCAAGCAAAAAGGAAAATGCCAGCAGAGGTGACAGGGAACTTGTGGTCTATAAAAACCTCTTATGAATGGAAGTCCAAATCTCTGTAGGTGTTCACTGAAATTAATTTAAAAAAAAGAAAAAAACAAACAAAAAAACCTCTTATTCCTAAATTGGCCATGTATCTCTTTGGTCTGAGTATTTCCAAATTCTTTACTCCATAACCTAAGTACAACTTAGGTGTATCTTGCTAATTTCATCTAGAGAACTAAAAGCCATAGTCTTCGCAGTTATGTGCTATGCATCAGAGAGTTTGACAGTGAATAGGATTGATAGAAAGAGAATTGATGCCTTTGAGTTGTGGTGCTGGAGACAAGTGTTGAATATACCATGGACTGCTAGGAGAACAAACAGGTTTGTCCTGGAGAGGGTGAAGCTGGAATGCTCCTAGGAGTCAAGGATTCTGAAGCTTCGTCTGACATACTTGGGGAATGTGGTAAGGAGGGACCTTGAAGAGGGACATCATGTTTGGCAGAGTGGAGGGGCGGCGAAGGAGAGGAAGACCTTCGATAAGATGGATCAATTCTGTGATTGGAGCAATGGGAATAAGTGCGTTTGAAATGGCTAGGTTGGCACAGGATAGAACAGCGTTTAGAGCTTTTGTACATAGGGTGATATGAGTCTCAAACGACTTGATGGTACATAACAACAACAACTCTTTACAGATATTTACTTAATTCGTAGATGTCTCCCAATATACTTTATATTTATTTCTTTTTCTTACATAGAAAAGCTTCTAGACAAGTCTATATTGTTTGCAGAAAAATAAACATACAAAACTTCAGAAATATATTAAAGCAAAATGAACATTTCTGGAACAGCGATGTAGTAAAAAAGTAAACTGATCACACATGTCTTTAGCGTATGTGTGTAGAGGCACTGAGAACATGTCAGTAAAAATGCAAGTGATGACCCTTATCTATGGCTAAAAAAAGACAACTGAACAAATGGAAGTCAAGATTAAGTTAGAAAAACATGTGAAAACTCAGGATTAAAAGATCGCCAAGTACAAATACCAAATTCCATTTATATCCATTTATAACCATCAAATGGTAAAAAAAATCCAGTTTGTACTCCTCTGCATCTAGAGGTTGTGAATGCGTCCACTGTACATATATTCTCTAGTACTTTTTTTAGAACTTTTTAATTTTTTTTTACTTTTTGAATGACGTCTTTATAATGTGTTATTATATTTTTCAACTGTAATTACCAGCCTAAAAATCAGAATATAGATGAATATTCCACTTTAAATGGAAGGAGTAAAAGAAAAAAAAATCCCCAAAAAGACAATAATGTGTAAAAACTTGACAAAATAAATCTGTATAATTAAAATAATAATGTATTTATAATACAAAAAGTGGTTTTGTGTCTTAAGATAGGCCTAGTTACCAAATGAAATAAATCGATTTACAAATTTTTTCTTCTTCCTGAAATATATGAAGTTCTGAGTGAGGTTTTTCCATTTCTAACTTACTCATACCTTTCACATCTTCATCTTCGATTGTTGTATTTGAACTCTCAGTTGACTCCTGTCAAAAATAAAATATATTCAAGTTGTAAACAATTAATAGTTGGCTTTCTCTGTCTCAGAATAAAAAGTGGTATCAAAACATGACTAGTGACGCAAAATTCTGCATCATGCAAAATCCCAGAGCAGGCTGTGTGCATTTGTTGGCATGCAAATGAACAAATACAGAATGTGGTTTAAACAAAAATAAAATGCCAAAATGCTGCACACTTTTATAAAGGGGAAGACTCTGGTTGTCTAATATCTGAAGCTGTATGAGGGTAGGCAATTTGTAAGAGTAGAATTATGTAATAAATTTTGAAGTCTGCAAGGATATGTGGGTATTACTCGGCCCCCTAAGATATGCTTTTTCTGTATAAGAAATTTAATATATTAACTTAACGAATATAGACCAAAAATAATATTTTATTCTTAATTAATTATCAGTAAATGCCACATTCTTTTGTTTAGGTAATATCTCAAGCACTATTTTTCTTATTCTTTTGCCAAGAAAAGGCATTTCATCAACTGATGGAGCTGCTGAGGCAATTAAACTGTTGAAGGATTTTTCAAGTTTGTGATTAGCATAAAATATATATCATAACCTTCAAGAAAAACATGTTTTTTTCAATAATTATTATATTAGAAACTGTCTGCCCTTGATAAGAACTTCACTTTTATAGTGAAAACACAAAGGTTATTGTTTGTAGAATTAGAAATAATAAAGAATGTTTCTTAAAATGATTTTATAAGTTCTCTAAATAATAATGTGCTCTCTTTCTCTCCTTATTGGCATCACGTCGGGGCCAACTCATAGCTGAGACACCAGCATACTTTCAGGGGTATATATTGTATGAGAGGAGACTACTCAATTTTACCATAGAGCTGCTGATGGATTCAAGCTGCCAGAGGAGTATAGCCGGTGGGTCAACAGCACAATTCTCCATTGACTATGCCACCAGAGTTCCCTAACGGTGTACTAATGAAATATTTAATATGTGGCAATATTTATAGTACAGTTTTCGGCTTCTTAGAATTATTAAAGGTTAGAGCTGAAGCAATTAGAAGCAAACTTCCAGTCAACAGTTTTATGCTCTCAGTGATGGAACCTAGATGTTTTAAATGGATGCAAACAGAAGAAAATGTCCTTTTTGAGATTCAATATTAAAGTGATATTAAATTGTATAAATATTACATACAATCCTTAAATTGAAACAAACAAACAAATCTCCAACAATTCCATTACTGGCAAGTCAATTTTGACTCCTAATCACCCCACAGGACAGAGTAATAACTGCCCAGTAGGGGTTTTAAGGCTGTAAATACTCTACATCTTTCTCCTCTAGAGCTGCTGTGAGGTTGGAACTTTTGACCTTTTGGTTATCAGACAAGCACTAGGACTCCTTTTAAATTCAAAGGGATAACTAATTAAAGGTATACCCAGAGTCTCCCTACACACAAAAACCAAACAAAAGTCTACATGCGTTTCTCATTGTGATTCAGTGTTCAAATGTAAATCAAGATGAAAGTAAACCCATGCACTGTATAAAGAAACTAATTCATATAAGAAAGAAATACCATGCACCAACTCTTACAGCTGATATAGCTAGAGCTCCACTCCAGCTGTTAGGCTTGGTCTTTCATTTGCTAATGATACTTTGAAACATTTGTTTTTCATATCTGATGGGCCTGACCACTTCAAGTCTGTTAGGGATTCTGATCATTTTAAATGTCATGGTTCTAAAATAAACTCTACATTAAAGAAAATAACACTTCATGGGTTTTTTTACTTAAAAAATTAATACTGTTTATCTAAATGTTAAACTAAGATAAATATGTTATCTAAGACTTTACTACTATTTATAAGAGTAAGGAGAAATAAGACTCATGGCAATACTTAATGTTTAATAAAAGTCTAGAGTATATTCTCCTCTTAGAGATATAATAATGTCTGGGAAACAATAAGCTGGAAATATACATCTGCTTTCATTCTACACACATGTATGTAAATATAATTATACAGTTAACATGCTTTGGAATAAATTTATAATATATAGGGAAATGTTACTCTTTATTCAGCATAAGTAATGAAATATATGTTATTGAAATGCATATTACTCAACACAAGCACATTACATGAAACTCCCTGCTTATCCTCAAATTCAAGCCAAAGAATACCGATAAGAGAATTAAAAAGAAAACAACCAGTACTACAACGATGACAAAGACACAGAAAAGGACTCAAAAGCAATACTAAATTTAAACAAATAACTAAGAACTCAGGAACTCAGGTAGATTTTTTTTTAAAGATAGCGGAATGATAATAGCAAGAAATTCTACAATTTCAAGCAGAAGACATCTACAAAACAATGCACAAACACTGGAGGGAAGGGGCATGGGCGAAGGAAGATCAGACGAGAGCACGTTAGATACACAGTCATCCAGACATAAGGATTTTATTAATGATTTTCTTACTTTATTGTCTAATGACAACATTCCATTTATCTTTGTTTTAAAAAAAATAAGTGTCATAGTTCAAGATAAATTATACCCAAAAGGACGTGCCACGGTGGGGGGGGGGGGGGCGGAAGGTAAGGATTTGCTTTTCTATTTTTAGATTATGAATTAGTTTTGCTTTGAATATTTGATGAGATGTGCAATCTTATGAAAGCAAGATGATGTTGATTCTTTCTGAATACCTTGTTTCCATCAGGGTTGTGGATTACAGTAGTTTGGGGCTCCTGAGTGAGAACAAAATAGAGAAAGAAAGAGTTTGCATTGGTAAGTACATTCATACTAGAGTGAGGGAAAGAGCAGAGCGAGCCAGCTGACACAATTAAAGAGTGACAAGAGCTAAAGCCATGTTAACTGCTGGCAGAGGCTGCAGCTGACAAAGCCTCTGAGGAAAGATCTCCCGGATGGGCCCATGAGACAGGACACCTCCCTACCCAGTAGCAGCATGCAAAGACCTTATTCTTGATCAGCAAACAGACAAGGCTTTGAAGTCTAGAGATCTAAAGAGGCACTCACTGTCTCACAAACCCTAGGGCATACAGAGGTTTCCTTCTTTAATGGAGAGCCTTTCACCTTTTGGGGAGTTCGGATGGCCTAGTAGGTAAGAAGCTGTGCAGCTAATCCAAAGTCCAGTCAGTAGTTGAATCCACCAGCTGCTTAATAAGAGAATGAGAAGCAGTCTTCTCCCTTGTGATTTATATCCTCTGAAAACCCACTGGAGGCTTAGCTATGAGCGGGCTCTGACTTGATGGAAGTAAGTTTTTATTTTGTTCAAGGTCTGTCCCATAGAATATTTCCCTGGAGACAGAACTAGAAGCTGAAGGTGTTAAGAAAACTTTAAGGGGTTTTTCTTTTCCTTTCTTTTTTTTCCTCTCTTTCATATATTTACACAAATTCAAAATGATATTCACAGCATCTTCTAAATTTTGGCCAAGAGTCAAAAAAATGCATTTAACCTTTGGAACATGCCCACATAGACAGGTGACTGACCCTGATGGCAGTAGGGACAGAGACCCAAGAACCAAAGGGCTGAGAAGTCAGGAGGAGCCAACAGGAGTCTACAGCCAGTTTATGACTGTGATGCGACAGGACCTCCATCCAGGCTGAGGAGCTCAGAACAATGACATAGTTGCACCTAACTGGCACTCGTCTCTTCCATGACTTGCTGTGTAAAGATAGTTCTTTTAGCTGTATTGCTTGAAAATATGTTTCAGCTGTCTTGATTATCATCAGCATCATAATTAACACACAGCTGAATGCAGTCAGAAAATCTACAACCATTAAACTACACTTTTAAAAATGGGTATTCTAAAGGATGTAATTTCATAAAGTTATAAGAAACCCCTGGAACTTATTTTAAAGGTTCCTACAACCAATGAATTAATCACAACACTTAGACATACTGTTGTAAAATTCTCTGCTAATCCATATTTAAAGGAAAATTTCTGCTTTATCAGTTAGATGTAGAGATGATTTGGCCTATAAAACCATGTTTCACATGAAGACAAAAGAATTTTTCTATAGTTTACTACCAGAAAATTGAAGGAATACTCTCAAGAGGAAATACTACTCAAATAACATTCTTGAAGAAACCTGAGTTCACATATCAATGAAATGACTGACATTTTTATAACCTGATGCCTTTGTGACTGGCTGTTCTTTTCCAGGGTTCCTCCACATCTGGCATCTCCTTTCTACAAGTTTATGTTACATGACTTAGAAGCTCTATTTATGTGCTTCTCTTCTTCTGTTCCTTGGATAAAGTTATGATCAACATTGCTCTGTACAAACAGATAACCTGTTAAGTATAGTGACATATCCGTTATTATTTTTTTTTTAAGTTGAGACCATCAATCGAATAATCCCTCAACATTTTTATTCCTTTTTATTTATAGAAACTAGTCTCAACAGCAGATACTTTTCTGAAAATAATAATTCTATATATGAAGGTTTAGGAAAATGTAAAACTCAAAGTAGTAAATGCTAGCGTATAAAATTTTAATTTTAACATCACACTGTCTTGAAGTGTTAAAATGATTTCATTTTTATAGTGTAGCTTAGATTAAATGGAGGGGGAAATACTGGCTTCTAATGAAAGTTAAAAGCTCTGTATGATGCAATTTTAGCCTTGTGATTAAAGTGAAACAGTGAGAAATTGATTTAAAACACTTTTAAAAAAACACTTTAAATTATTAAATGCCTCTTTATCTGAGAAAGTGAGATCTTACAAAGCCCTGTTGACTTTTAATAAGGAAAAAAAAAACTCTGAATAAGGTCTCCATTTATCATTGTCTGGCAATAATCATATTAGCTCTCCTTGATGTCTTTTCACCATGGGAAAAAAACATTGTTTGCATAATCAAGAGCTATCATCAGGAGAAGAGCTAAGAGTCATCAAAGCACATTCTATTGTATTTCTAAGGCAGCATGCAAGCAATCTCAAGTACAGAGGCCACAGCTATCAGTACAAAGTTCAACAATGATATGAGAAAATCTCATGTTAGAAACACACTGCTTGAACAACCTTAACAAAGGAAAGAAAAAATGATTTTTTTTAATATCACATGAAGCAAAAGGAAGAAAATCAAGAAAATAAAATATTTGTATATATACACAGCTAGATATAGTGAAAGCAAATGAGAGAAACGACAAAAACAGTAAAGAACTTAAGTAAGGTTACAAAGAGTCCAGGTATACCAGCGCCGGAGTAGGAATATTTTCTTTTGGGCTGGTTACCACGTTGGCTTTGTTGTTTATCTGTAAGTATGTAGAAAATAGAAACAGAAATGCCTTAAACCCGTTGGTAAAAAATGTTGCTATATGCAGCACACCTATGTGGAGGTATAGACATGAAAATAGAGAGCCCTTGAAGATGGATGTGAGTGACACTGGATTGACTGACAGGAATGGTAATGACATCTAGTCTCTGTGGATCATACACAAGCTATTATCTTTATCTGTGATGGAAGAATGATACACCAGACCTGGCTGCTTTGGCTGTGCAATCTTAGCAAACAGAAAAGAGCTGCTTTGATGGAGTTCAAATCAAGTTTCAGATTATGAAATGATTATAAGCATTTTCATACTCCCAGGTTGGATTGTTTTCCAGCTTCCAATTGTTCACTGTTAGGAATGCATTCCATTTTTCATCTTATTCTTGAGCCTGAGGTCAAAAGTCCACCATGTCTCTCTAGGGAGTCATTATCAGTTTGTATAGCCAATGAAGAGCTTAGATCTTGAATGAAATGTAGGATATATGATAAATATAGACAAACACACACGATGTAAAAATCATACAACTGTGTATCATTTAAAAATACATCGTCTGTAAGTGGGCAATCCAGCTCATTACTATACTATGAATTGAAAAGAACATTAATTTTCACAATTGTTTAAAAGGAAAATATTTTCTGTTAAAGAGTCACTGCTTCTGTTGAAGACTGTGCTTGGTAACACCCTTGTTTTGACATAGCTGTGTTTAGTCTCAAAGAAGGGCTCATTATCCCTGGGGAAGCAACTCAGAGGGTCACAGGGAAGACTCTTTGTATACAAACATCAACTTCAAACTACAAATGAGTCCGAACACCAAAGAATCAAGAAAGTAATAACCAAAATTCTTTTAAACTCATATACGACAATTTGCATTGTGAGTATAAGACAAACAAATCAGCATTCATTTCCTACCACTACATTATGTAGGTATTATTAGCCACAGGACTACAACCTATATTACAGTATAAATATAATTGATCATTGAAAAGTAGCCTAATAGATAAAAGAAATACCAAGTAAGTATTTATAAGTCTTTTATACCGATGTAATTAGATTTCCAGGGACTGATTTTATTTCATATTTTATAGCAATAACCCTTTAATGCTATTGTTAGTTCTGTCGAGTCCTAACTGACTCATAGCTGACCCTTCAGAGATTTTTCATGTGCCTTTGGACTGGCAATGCAACTCCTTACTCAACAGGCTGCCAGAGCTCCCTTATGTAAAGATAAAATGAGAAAAGCACTGGGAGCAAGACAGTGGACAGAAATGAACTCACGTATGGAATAATCTGCTATTCTATTAATCCACATTCATGTGGTTAGTAGGTATTAATGTTAATTAAATAAGCTGCAAAACTGTGTTCTGGGATATGCAGGAAAACAGAAACTTTCTGGTACTCTTAACTGAAAAATTCTTTAAATGTTAAACCATCAATTTTGCAGATAGTTCACTTTAAAACTTTCCTTAAAACAATGTAAACAGAATTTAACATAAATACTGCACAACAACTAAAATGAAAGAAGAAATAATAAAGTCTACTAGGTGTCAAAATTAAGTACGTATATTAGTACAGAATACACAAGAATATGAGAGACATGTACACACAGTAACTTCCTATTTAGGAAAAGTGCTTGGCAAAACACAGCTGACTTCTTATCAAAAGACCAGAGTTGTGGTTTTTGTCTTATTTTAAAATTTTTAATTTATATTGGTTTGATTACAAAAAATATATGTTTCACATTATCCTTCATTCACATTGTGTTTCATACAATCATTCCCATTCCCTATGTTTTTTTTATAAAACTAATCATCATTAAGTTAATCAGTGGATTTAAGAGTCAAAGGAAAATAATCTGAGATATTTTTATTTCTGCCTTGAGATAAGAGAGCAGGTGTTTTGTTCTAGTTTTTTTCTTTCTAGGAATATGGTTGCCAAGAACTGCTTTATGTTAGTGATAAAGATTTCACATGCATACCTATGTACACAAACCTATGTTAGCACACATGTATTTCACACATTCAATACAGATACACAGTACACATCATCATTTATTCTTTCCATCCAGATGGAGGGGTCATTCTGTCTGGATGAGTCATTCACTGTCATCAGACCTGAGAAATATGATTCAATGAGGTATGTGCCTCAACTACCATTTTTAGTCTTGTTTAAATGTGCAATTTAAAACATTTCAATTAATGATAGGTTAGCTTAATTTTATAAATCTATTTATCATCTATCTATCTTTGTAGTATTAGCTCATTAAAAACAGAACAAATTATAAGTAAAAGGATAGAGGAACTTCCTATCAAGAATAAGTCAAATATCAAGTATGGGTTTGACTAGAGCTCTTTCAAACATATAAAATACTCTGGCACTTTAACTGTGAATGTACCTTATTTTATATCAAGGGAGCAGAACATTTTTTCCTTTAAATAAGGAATCAAACAAAATATTTAAGTGGTGTGCTGAATTCTTCTTAGGTGCAAGATAACAATTTTTCAGGTATTGGTTTTATTAGAGATCTCCGAAGTTAATATTTCTTAAAGTGCTTAACTAGGATGAGTTTCTTACAAGATCACTTTTGTATCACAAATTCTATCGTGATTTATCACGTTATCTCTGAACTAAGAACAATTATTATTCCCAAAATAATTATATAATGATTCAGTGAAAACAGATTATGATTGTCTCTTTAGAGTCAAAGAGAAAAAATTTTCAGTGTAAAAGATTAAACCTAGTAATAGCACAGAGACAAACTTTATATGTATTAAAAATTTCAAGTTCACAGAATAATAACAGAAGGAGTGGAGCAATGTTTTGGTACATGATTAACAATGATTTCTAATGGTCCTACTTTTTTTCCCTCCACTTAGCACTAATTTAGTTAAGTAAGAACTAAGTTCTTGAGTGTAAATTTTCATAGGAGAAGAAATCTGGCAGATTGAGATCCTCACCATCATCTGAACACTCGAACTGGACTTCCTTTTCTGAATTTACCAGTCAATGAGAAAGGAAAAAAGAAACTATGACTGGTTGAAATTATTGTACCAACACATAGAATACAGAATAATTTTGCCTTTAAGTGAAAGCTAGAACTTGAGTAGGAGAATAAAATTATGAAATGTTCTTTCTATAAAAATACATGGTGAAACTACGTATTTCATTAGGAACTGTGAACTTTCCCTCAGTAAACGGTACAGTAAAACTTAGAATAGCACAATTGGAAAACTGAAAATAATCACCTTTCCACCAATATATTGTTGGAAAAAGACAGACGTCACTTGTCATTATTAAAATCAAACTGAACTCACTAAATAGTGAGAACCTGAAAAATTACAGACTGAGAAGACAATTGGTAAAAGGCAAACGACATTCTGATGGGAATTACAAGTGCCTCATGACCATAGCTCTAGAAATTCCTCAATCATATACACACACGTGGTGAAGAAACAAATGATAGTGCACAAACAGAAGAAATGACAAAGGATTTTTTTGTTACACTTTCAATAGGAACTGACCACCTGGTTTTGGCCAAGTTCAAATGTTAGAATATTAACTAATTCCCAAGAGTGCTGAAGTGTTGATGAGGAAAGTATGCATCTGCCATTGGAAGAGAAAGAAAAGGATTAAAGAAGTAGTGCATTTAGGCGGGACTCTGCAAAGATAATGCACACAATGTGAATATTAGGTTACATTCAATCAAAGGTAAATTGCCAGGAAATAAATAGAAACTGTATAAAATCTGTTTATTGAGTTGGAATTTTATCATTGTTCAGAATTCTAAGAAATTAAAAATATCCTCTTATATTCTTCCTGGGAACATTTTAAAAAATTTGTTAGCTTATCTTCAATATGCCTTAATAACTTATGAAATAAGTACAGGAACCACAGACATTGTAAAAAATATTACCCAAACAGAGAATTTTGGTAATTTGCCCTTTTATTCCAGACTAAATGTCTGGATTTTTTTTTTTTTTTAAATATAGGCTATATATTTCAGAAGTCTTCAAGAACACAGCATCATTACTTGGAAAGGCATTTGTTTTGCACAAACATTTAGGTCTCCATAATAGTTTTTTATTGTAATAGAACACTAAGAGGATGCAGACATAATTTTTTACAGCAATTTCATATAAGTCTCTTTTTTCATGACTAATATGTAATCACATAGAAATAAAATTTCTTTTCTTGGTATAAACGTTAATCATCTTTGAGCATCAAATTATTTCATAATCCAATCTGTTCTCTTTATTGCTAACCATAAAATACGTAACTATTTAGGACTTAGAGTTAAGATGTTTAAATTGTTCAGTGCCTGAAAGTCACACATGATTTAGGAACACCTGTTCAACTTACCTTTACTCCATCTGGTTTCTTCAACAAACTCTTGGCTGCTGTAAAATGAGAGTAAAAACCAGCTTAATGAGTTATTCATACAACCCCCCAGTCAAGCTACAAGACAGGTAGTTGACTCTTTCTATCATCTCTGCTGAGTGATGGCCAACATATGCCAAGTTATCAACGTCACACTGATGAGCGCGAGCTTACAGGACATTGAAAGACAGTATCACTTTTCTTGGTTTTTGCCACGTCAAATTAGGAACTAAATTTTTATTTAGTTCATTCTACATTATTGAATATTTTGCCAGATGGACTTTATTTCACTCATTAATTATGAAAAGGATACTGGAACTTTAACTGGACTATGTTTTTGTAATCCAGAAAGTTGATTTCAGTCTTCAGACATCAGCTGACAAGTTGTATTACATGTTCATTCACACCACAAGTACGGTGACTGTGTCAGTTCTGCATTTACACTTCACTATTTAGAGGTTAAACAGGTTTGAAATTTGGATTCATTTAAAAAGCATCTGTATCATATTTTTGAAATAAATCTCTTTTCTAAAAGAAATATTGATAACTATAATGAAGTAATAGTTTATATTATTGACCTACAACATTTAAAAAAAACATTTTGTCTATGACCTCTGAAAAATAACATGATGTATAGTCTACACTTCAAAATCAGAAATTAAAGGCTTTACATATGCCTTATATGCGGTGAAAAATTAAAAAAATAAAGAATTGAGAAAAGATATAAAATAAAATGAAATTTTCAAATTATTCAGCTAAATCAGAGAAATCCTAAGGCATTCTTATGTTGTGCTTTGTTTTTCTTTTGGGCCAGTCTTTATAATTCCTTGTTAATGAACTTCTAAAGTATATGTAGCAGTGAAGTAATTCTTTAAAAAATGTATACACAGTAAACAGAATATTACTGTCAAAGACAATTAGTGACTAAATATAGAAAATGCATGACTATGTAGGACAGTGCACACACTTCTATTTCCATTTAAGGCTGATTTTATATATACATATATATATTAAAATCTATCCAATGAGAATTTGAATGTGAAATGTCATTATAATAGAACTGCATGAACATGTAATTTCCTGACATCCATTTGACTTAGGAAGTTATTTTGTTATCACTTTAGTATAATTTAAAATGTATTTAATAGACATTAACATGTTAATTATATTTAGTTTTTAACAATGAAGTTATTAATTTATTATTATGATCAGAAGACAGTTGTCTTAAATATAACACTATTTGCCTACAGCTAAAAAGCAGTATTAAATAAATCCTGTGGCAGTTAATAGGTTAGAAAGCAAACTTAGAATAACTGGAATTACAATAGCAAGCAAAGAGAAGACAATGATTCAGGGTAAGCAGGGATTTGGCCTGGGAGATGCAGAAATGTCCCTTTTGGTTACTCTTCACCTTACCTCACAAGAAATACATTCCACATAAAGGGAGAAAAGAAAAAAAATAAAAACAACTTTATAACCATATACTTGTGGACAATTACTTTAAAGAGCATGTCTGGCAATGAAACAGAATGAATAAAATACTCAAAAGTAAAATGTAATATTAAGTACAAAATGTAACTGCTTCGAATGTTATTCAGTTGAACTGATGGATTGAAAAAAAAAAGCTTACTGTTCATGCTAAGGTGTTAAGAAATGATATTTTAAAAAATCCACATATTAGTTATGAATTTTTAGTTTACAAGATGGTGAAAAACAAAAAGTGAAGAAAACAAAAAAGCAAAAATACCAATAAAGGCCCAGTTTATATACCTCAGTGTGTTTAACACTTTAACAAAATATATAATAGTAATTATGAAGATTAATTTGTCATTAACAGTATATATCAAATCAATCATTATTCCTTTTAGTGACTCACTAATATTTGGGCCACAGTGAAGTACTCATTTTTTAATATAGTTTTAATTAATTAATTAACATTTAATGAGATGGCAGTGAACTCACCCATATAAATGTCAACAATATTATCAACTGTATATAACACAGGTAACTGGACAAAGGCAGCAACAGAGCTTGATTACATCACACACATTAGACAAAAAACATACAGTCAACTGACAAAGTCCCTCAACTTGTTACATAAACTATTGTATTATTATTGTTTAGTCTCCTGGCAGAGGCCTTTGCAAATCTCCTCTAATTTCACATCCTAACTAAATACAAAGGTGAAAAGAAAGATGAATCATTTAATAACATTTTAAACTATATTAGGTTTGAGCTGTGGAGGACATTTGACAATGTCATAGATCATTACCCAGTATTATTACAATACCCAGGGGCTAAAGATGTAGCAAGACATACAATGAAATAATTGGACTTACTGCTACACATTACTATGTATGTAAACAAAAGTGACAGAAATTTGGTATTAATAATTATATAATTATTTCAAGTATGACTGACAAATCAGTTTACTGAGCTTAGGTTTCTTACTGTTTCGGTCATTTGTCATGTATAAGACTGATTAGCAAATCCCAAAATTTTATTTTTGGAAATCTGGCAATATAAGATAGTTAATCAAAAAAAGGAGATTCAGAATCCTAAATTTTCTGGACATGACATATAATTTCTTTCCATTTTAGAGATTTACTTCCACCATGGACCGCCAAGAAAACAAACAGGTCTGTCTTAGAGAGAGAGAAGGCTAGGATTTTGAACCTCCATCTCACATACTTTGGGCACATGGCCTGGAGGGACCGACCGACCGGTCCTTGGAAAAGGACATTATGCTCTGAAAGGTAGAGGGCCAGCACAGGAGAATACCCTGGATGAGACGGATTGATATAGTAACTCAGGTAATTGGAGTTGGTGTGTCGGAGTCAGTGAGACTGGCTCAGGACAGAGCAGGGTTCAGAGTTGTACATAGGATAGTTATGAGTTGCAGGCGACTCAATGGCACATAACAACAACTTTTAGCTGAGTATTTAACAATCGTATCTTTACCATCAAATCACTTTTATGAGTGTTTATTGTGCCACAATATTACTATATGGAAGGTTATGGGTAAATTAATAAGTCAGATATCTTTCAAAGTTGTGAAAATGTGTATAGCACATGTGTATGTGCCCTACATGGAAGAAACAAGTTTGAGAGAAATAAGTATCATGATAATGGTCTTTAAAATATCTTGTTATTGGGATCTTCTTTGAGAATGAGTCAAGAAAATAATTCAGAGTTAATACTTTATAATTAATAAAATGCCAATTCTATTAGCTGTTTTTTATTTAAGTCTCATGTTTAGAGTCAACAAGACCTCGTGGAGGGCCTTTGTATATAAAAGTCGGTTATTTTATTTTGGAGGAGCATTCTTGTAAGTGGTACAGCAATTTGCTGTACTGAGGTAACCTGGGGTTGTTGTGGTGTTGAACCTTGTGCTACTGGGGTGTCAAATGTCATAACAGTTACCCATGGCGGACAGTGTTTGGTGGAGTTCCCAGTTTAAGACAGGTGTAGAAGCAGAAACGGCATCCACTTCCTAAACAACAGGCTTCTGGAAACTCTATAAACTTTGACAAACGGTGATAGTTATAGAAAGACTTTAGGCCTTTTGTTCATAGGGTCGCTATGAGTCGTGCTCGACTCAACAGCAATCAACAACAACAACGACAAAATGCCAATTAATTAATGAGGTATTACTTATGTGCACAATTGATGCAAGATGACTGATGGGTTTTAAGTCCAGCACCTGCACTGAGTAAAGGCAGGGCCGCCTGCTGTGGGGTGGAGGCAGCAGTCCATATGAAGAGGCTCTGAGGGAGACAGCACTCGGGCAGTTACTAATGGCAGCTAGGATACTGAAGGAATCCATGCCACACATTTGCCATCACTGAACAACAGTGTTAATAATAATAAAAATATTATTTTTAAATAAAACAAAGGGATTATAAAACAGAATGGGGAACTAAGTTCCTTAACCTATGTACCTGAAAAATTCCTCGTAGCCAGCATAGTGGTCAAGATGGCACCCTGTCAAAGGAATCAGAGTACAAAATCAATGTCACCTCTGAGAATATTTGACCGAACAAAGACAAGGTCGTTAATACCAGGATCTTCCTCTAGCTGTATTTTTCAATCTTGCAACTCATTGCTATCACTCCAAAGGATTTTCTGAGGCATAAATAACATGGGAGGAGACTGTCTATCTTTCCCCCATAAACTGGCTGGTAGATTTGAACTGCCTGTGCTTGGCTTGGCAAATACAACTGTTGGGCAATTAGGCCACCACACCTCTCCTACTTTTAGGCAGCGGCTTTTTAGTTTCTTGGTTTCCTGAGAGTAGCTGGTTTATTTCTTTCACGCCAGGACTGCCCTACTGTGTGTGAACAGATTCAGATGATCAAATTATCCAGTTGTTTTCCACTCAAGGGAAAAACCACAGTTCACATTATCACAACTATCACAGTCTTTTCATTATAGATTTAATTCCAGTGCATTTTCCACTTGTTCTAAGATCCAGAAAAGGAATAGGAGGAGTACTGGGGAGGGGTACTGAGCATCGTGTGCATTTAAAAGTATTTGTTAAAACTCTATCCATCACACAGTCCCATACTTCTCGCTTACCAAATTTATACTTTGGGATTTTGTTGTGCTTCTTTTTTCACAAAATGTAAAAAATGTCTTACCTTTAGTTTTCTTCTAGCATTAAATTTCTTCAAGCAGTCTACAGTCTCCTGTCTGTGCATCATGGAAGCAACAGTAGAACGTTGCTGGAAGAAGAGAAAAACAAAAATAATAGCTTAAATTGAGCACAGCTGTAGCGTACTAAAGATAATAGTAACTTAAACTTTACAAAATTTTTCTTCATGGTATTTTTATTCATAGGGTGAACTTCTAAGTGTTCTATTGGCAAAAATCTGCATACTAATTCAAAAGACTAATTCTTACTAAGACTATTTATGACAACAAAATTTAGTTTACAGAAAGTATATAAATAGATCCAAATAATTTCCTTAATTATATTTAATTTAAAATATCTTTAATTACTTTTTTCTCTATTAGTTTATTTACAAAATTCTAATAGAAATTCTAACAATTTTTTTCAATTTCCCTCACCCTCCATCCATCAAATTATACAAACCAATCAATGATTAATCCCCTCTTCCACACATATCCACATCCCTCTGCTTCCAGCCTCTCCCACCCGTCCTGGATCCTTATTCTCATTCTTCAATAATGGTTTTATACATTTTTATTGGATTTCCTTTTGTTTCTTTAGAAGCATATTTGCAACTATAACACCTGACTTTCATCCCTAAAAATTAACTAACATCTTTCGATTATTCCTCAATTTTATACTATTTTTTAAAAAGCTTTGAAAATATATTCAGACTTGAATGTTATGGATACTTTGTTTCGCTAGTGAGACTATTTTTGGATGCCAAACTTCACACTTGTTTCTAAAGCTTCCTAGTGAGAAATATTCAAACTTTATCTATTTATTTTCCCCTTCTGGGAGATATTCAATTTTTTTGTATCATTTAGTTAACTTTTTTCCCATGTATACTGTAAATAATTTGGGTGGAAAATGCTAATTTCTTAGTTACTGTGGTTGCTGTTGTGTACCACATTGTTGGAACCGACCCATAGCTGAACTTCCAGTGGGTTTTTAGAGGTAATCACACAGGAGGAGATTGCCCATCCTTCTCCTCGGAGCTGCTGGTGGCCTCGAACCGCACACCCTTGGGATTGCAGCACAGCTTTTTGCTAGCAGGCCACCAGAGCTCCCCTAATTTCTTATATAGCAGGTACTATTTATTAGCTTACATAAATAGCTTTGTTGGATTTTGTTTTTGTTATGTGCCCCTGAGTCAGAATCTATTCATAATTAACTCTCCAGAGGTTTTTCAGAGACTGTAAATTGCATAGATGGAGATTGTTCATCTTCCTTCTGTGAAGCAGCTAGTAGATCTGAACTACATGTCTTTGGGTTGGCAGCACAACTCCTTACCACTAAGCCACCAGACATCCCTCAACTGTATTTTACTATTCAATAATAACATTTTGCCCTCATATAATTGATGTGGTTAATTAACATCACTATATACTTCCTTGTTCTAGGTTTAATAATCTTCTAAAAAGTTTTTTTAGGTCTATTAAAAAAATCCTAAAGGATAGTTTATTTTTCATGTGAACTTATGAGGTGTTTAGAGGACTCTCACTTACACAGATCCATGGGTGCTTCAGGGCCTCTGAGGCGGTGATACGTTTGGCAGGGTTGATAGTAAGCATTTTATTGATGAGGTCTTTGGCTTCGGGAGTTACTGTGTCCCACTCTGGTGACGGAAACTTTAAGAAATAGACATTTATAGAGAGTTTTAAAAGTAAATCTACTCAATGCAACAGAAAAGATTAAAAAAAAAAGTACCATTTATTTATTTAAATAGTTCTTTTTTCCACAGATGGAATTTTAATTAAATTACATCTACATATAGAGAAGTGATTATAAATATGCCATTTATCTAAATATTCATGTATATATATATATATGTTTGTGTATGTGTGTATGTATTATCATATTATTTTAATGAAAGTTTACTAAGATAATTGTTTCCATTCATTCATACACACACATTTTCCCCTCCCTCAATTCATTTCCCTAAATCTTTCTCTATGAAAGAAAAAAATTGATAAAAACCAAGCAAATGCATAAAATTGTGCATTATGCATAGGGGGTACATTTCTAAATCTTGAAAAGACAATGTAGTTTTTTTTATTCTTCTCAAAGTGTGTTTTGCTTTGATCTCAAACTGATATTCTATGCAATAACTCTTTAACTCTTGTAATTATTTGTAAAAATCAATAAACAGTAGGTATGACATGTATCAACGTCATCATATTATTATGCAAGGTTCAACATGAGGGAACCTTTCACAACTCACATGTTACAATTGCTGAGATAATATATTCTTGTGCCAAACTGATATTTATTGTGGATGTCTGGAGCATAGTAATGAGAGGGCATCTATGGATACCAGAACCTCAGCAGGACTTCAGGTTAACTCTTTAAGAAGATTAAAAATTTCACCAAAAGAAAGTTTATGAGCATAGGCGACTTTCATGACTTCTAGGAATAGTTTATTTTTCTATCAACATTTTGTTAATTATTGAGTACAGGTATATAGTAACTATACATTATAATTATCATGTTTCTGAGGTTTTTGTTCAGATAATTCTTTGCTTCACTTTCATATACTTAGCATATTCAGTAGCAAATACTTCACAGGTTAAGGAAAAACTTATATCATCTTTGATGCTAAACAATAGAGTTTTTTTTTCATATGAGTAAACTTTTATAGACAATTTTGAAAAAGAGAGCCACAAAACCACTGTCACTGCATTGTAGAATTCAATTAGCCTTCTTTCATTAATTATAACATTTTCAGCTTGAGACTCACTGGAAAAACTAAACAGAATAAAAGTGACTATCCAATTTTTAATACATATCATTTTCTGGTAGGTTTAAAAATTCTCATTATAATTCAAGAAATTAATTATGGGCAGTTGAAAAACTGGTTAGAAACTACTGAATAAACTCCGTAAAGCTTCTTAATGTTGTTCATATTGTACAGCAGCAAAAGAGAGGCTAGTTTAGTCTAGAAGAAGATGAATATTTGATTCATTTTTCTAATTTTCACAGAGGCATCTCTTTACATTTACCAAGCTAATATCAACAGGGCAATGTATGGCTTGCAGGATGCCTACTCCAGTTTGTAAAGATGGAAAAAAGTGCTACTTGTACTTCAAGCTCATCTTTAGTCTGAATAAAATGGAATATCTAAAAATATAAAAAGATACATTTTTCCTTTTTTACCATAGGTACAACTTTAGGTGTCTGAGAGTTATCATTCTAAAATTTTCTTTCATAGCCAAAAGATCAACTATTTGTTTTATGCTGCAGTTATTATTGTATTAAGGAGAGAAGATGCTACATAGATGGGTGGGAATATGAGAATATGGTATATTAGTCGATCCACAAGGGGATTGGCTATATTCTACAAGGGGACTGGCCAGTCTCAACAATCCACAAGTGGATTGGCTAGTCTCGCCAATAAATTGAATAGCACTAGCCACAGTGACAGATCTTCCCCTTCCAGTGAAGTAGAAAGAGACCTTATGCCACTACCAGTGAAGAAACTTCATCACGAGGAAAAGAGAAGCCATGGCCAAAATGGAGACTTGATTTGAGAAGAGACCTGGGAGGAGAGCCAACAGTGATAGGACTGAGAACTTTGTTAGACAATTGTGGGGAGAAGAAAGCCAATATTGGCACGACAGAGAACTTGGGAACTATTGGCCTGAAGTCCCTATTCTGGACGCTAAGGCGCCTGTGTGCACATTTTGGGAGATTTCTTGACTGTATTCTGTTATTAATCTAGATTATAACCTTTGACTACTTCCACAATATGATTCTGTGTGATCAGTGAGCTATTGTACCAGATTTTGGACCCAGCAAAGCAGTAAAATTGGCACTGAGCTAAACAGAAAGAGGCATGGGATCGTGGGGGAATAAGTCTGACCTGACACAAATTGGTTTGTGTTTTTGATACTGTGGACAGGGACAGTTCACCTCTGTGAAGATGATAAAGCACAGAAATGGCCATACCCAAGTGTCCCTTGCTCTTTTTATAACAACTATCTAAATATAAAATTTTAACAGAAATCTACTGAAAAGGTGAATCTTCCAGACCTGAGAAAACAGACTCTTCTTATTCTTACACAGCATTTGTAATTTGTCTACAAAACACGGATCTGATATAATGTACTCTCCAGGTCCCTCCCTTGAAAATAAATAGAAAGCAGCCCCACACCCTGTATTCTGATATCCAGAAAGCTATGTGAAAGCAGTAAATTACATCCACAGAAATATTTATCAAAGGAAAGCTAGTGATGTTGATGAGTACAGAGTTCATTAATCCAGACAAAGAAACTAGGAGAACTAAATCCTTACTCTTCAGTTAGAACTTAATTTATGATTATATCTGTCTACGTTCAAGTATTCTACCTGTAATGTAAATGTTTATGCAAAATGTTAATGTAAAATGTTTATTTATTCTGCAGTAATGATTTTCAAATACTTTTAAATTATGAAACATCTTCTTCAAGTAACAGTTCACACAGTTTAAAAGAGAGATGTAACTGGTTATTTCTGTCATCACAGGAGAC